TAATAAGATATTTGATAGCGCACAGAAAAAACAAAAAAGGAAATGTAAAATATGTTAATTTGCAGAACATCATTACAGCTGCATTAATCAGTTAATAGGCTATGTGAACACTCTGGGGCTGGACTGACTGTAAAACACTCTTGAAGCTTTTTGTCAATAAACTGTTAAGAACTGTCTCCAGTACTTTGGGACCATGTGAAGATTTTCTACTTGGAGTGCACTTGTGAAGTCGCAGACCCTACAGGTAGGCCTATGTGTCGGATTTTGAACTGCTGCACATTGAAGAACTACGGCTCTGCCCTTAAGAACATGACATTTTGCTGACATATCCCCAGCTGTCACTTCTTTCCCAGTGTTGAGAAATGACAGCTGAGTCTACATTCTGCAATAACTACTGCTTGCTTCATTACATCGCTGATATTGTCGTGACAAGAGACAAAGTGACTGCCTGTGCTGAACACATCAGACATAGCTCTGTGCACACTTTTGAACTGTTCCCTCTGAAGTATCACTAATCTTGTCTGCTGTATATTTATGCTTGACATTATAACTAAAAAGTAGATTCTGTCATCATATAGGCTAAATATTCTTGCTTTGTTTCCAGAATGAGTAAGGAGTGTTGTGATTTGCAATCATACTAAAGTGACTAAAGAAAGACCTTCTTCAACAAGAGAACACATTAGCAACAAAAAAGACTGAACCCTGATTAACACTCCATCATCAATTCTTAAGATGACAACAAAACATAAATGTATTCACTATCATGCTGAAGATCAGACAAAAACTACCGTATTTTCCGCACTATAAGGCGCACTTAAAAGCCTTTAATTTTCTCAAAAAACGACAGTGCGCCTTATAATCCGGAGCGCCTTATATATGGATCAATTGGTTAATTGGTTGATCCATACTGGTTGTACACGGCGCTCAGCGACACTGACTCGGATAATAACGAGAGGGAGCCGGGCATGTTGGATGCCGTACTCGCCCAACTGTTCAATTCGGACACTGAAGAAGAAGAATTCGAGGGATTCGTGGACGGGGAATGAACTGAAAAAGTGAGCTTTACGTGTTATACGTAACTGAACAATGTTGAGTTATGCACTAACGCAGGGGTGCCCAACCTTTTTTGAACCAAGATCTACTTTTAAAGTTACCAGTCTGCCGAGATCTACCAGTCCACATAGTGAGCCATAGCCTTTACCAACAGCCTACAAACGCATTTAATACTCACACAACAAACAGAAAATAATAAATGAGAGTTCTGTAAAAAATAATGCAGACTACAGACTACAGCAGGCTGCTGTGAGATGATTTTGCTTTTGTTAAATTAGCTGCAGACACGGTGAGAGTGAACGGAGTAAAGTCCAACCGACTGTTTGACCGGGTCACGTGTGTTCCCACCTCGGTCCGTACGGATCACGGATCAACTGTGTGCTGTAGCACTAAAAGTAAAAAGTAAAAAGGTTCGCGTGGTGGCTGGCGCTCCAGTGCAAGTGTGTGTGTGTGTGTGTGTGTGTGTGTGTGTGTGTGTGTGTGTGTGTGTGTGTGCGTGTGCGCGTGTGCGTGTGCGTTTGCGTTTGCGCTGTTGTTGGTGTGTCTCGTCCCCCGCGATGCTCACAGTCATGACAGCAGAGAGGAGCAGAGAAAAGTAGCTGCAGCTTCATCAAATGCGCTTAATACTCGTAGCATAGTTTCTATATATGACTTTTTGGTAAAACATTTACCCCCCGGTTTTACCTGCACGTCATTGCGCATGCCTGCACTCTCTCTCTTGCGCGCTCTCTCTCTCTCTCCATCTCCGCCGCTCGCTCTCTCATGCACGCAGCAATTTCATGAATAAATGAAAAATTAAATACACACAGGTCGGAAGTATACTTGGACTCCCAACACAGGTATCGTGTGTGGGAAACAGTGCAATGAGATGAAATTGAATCTATTTTACAATTGTATTTTATATTGACAAAACATCTCGCGATCGACTGAGAATCAGTCAGCGATCTACCTGTAGATCGCTATCGACTGTTTGGGCACCCCTGCACTAACGTTTGAATTAGCGGTATCAGACTGTGTTTCTTTTACGTGTTTACAACTGAACAAGGCTGGGAGATATTGTGAATATGCACATTAACGTTTGAACAACGTTGAGTTATTGTGAATGCACTACGTATAAAACTACGTTTTGAGAGTTAAGAGAAACGTCAAAGAAATAATTTATTATTTGGGGAAATCGTCTTATGTACTTTTGTTTTTGTAGTTTTATACGTTACGTTTTATACGTATTTATATTTATATATTCACAATATCTCCCAGCCTTGTTCAGTTGTAAACACGTTCTATTCTATGCGCCTTATAATCCGGTGCGCCCTATATATGAAAACAGTTCTAAAATAGGCCATTCATTGAAGGTGCGCCTTATAGTGCGGAAAATACGGTAAATGACACCACTCATATGCCAGTATAATAAAAATGTTGCCACAGCAAATAGCCACTTAGCTTAGCATCATACTGGAAAGTGTGGACACAGAGGAGGCCTAGTTACTAACCACTATCCTCAAATTTCACTATTCAACTTGTTCAATCTAATGAGAAATACAGCACATTTTAGAATCCAAGCTAGCTATTTCTATGTTTCCAATCTTTATGGGCAACAAAGCTAACCTTCTCTTTTAACTTTTAACAAGAAACAAATAAGGATAAGTCAAACAACACCCCTGTTACGGCATCCTTAATAACACAATGGCTCGAGGAAAAAGGAGACCAGACCTTAGATGAAAAAAAAACAATCTTTATTGCATAACATTGTCTGTCGAAGGATGAGTATGATAATCAGATTCCTGAACATTGGCTAATACACTGAGTGACCCGGCTGTGCTGCGATGCTCATTTACCGCTCCACCATCAGAGTGACCAGGCCTGGCGAGCACATGGGGACAGCTGAAGAAGCAAGATCCTGTTTGGCAGTGACTGTAAATGGCCAGTATGGCAGCCTGGCTTCTCTCAGTGGTTGCAGATGGCACTCAGTGACACTAGGGTCAACGTTCTGTCTGTGTTCCGCAAAAAAAACAAAAAAAACAATCCTTGGTAGGAGGCTCTAGCTTCATCTGCCTCAGCAGATTTCTGCACATGTGGGTGTGGAAGCAGCAGCGCCTGGAGGAGGGATCCAGTTCTGATTGCAGGAGGTGACAGAACAGAGACAGCTTTCAGTTTCACGCTATTTCATGCTTGGCAGGTACACAAATTAAAGATGAAGAATTAGAAACTTGGGTTGCAAAAGGAAATGTTTATAGAAAACATTACCAGAAGATTGAAGTTTGTCTAGAAGGTGCTGGAATCTTTTGACCTGTGTTTTCATTCGTTGTAAACATAATGTAGGGCATCTTACAGTATCTGTGAAAGAGAGGGAAAACCATCTGCGTATTGAGTGTTTTTATTTCCTAGTTGTATGTAGGCATGTATGCTTCCTCTCATGCTTCATTTGTAATATATGTGGACATGTGGACCCTTGAGGGTTTGGATAAATGAACATTGGAGCATATTTTCATCTCCCACCACATTCAGAGGCCAGCTGCAGATGCTTGATTTGGCAGTTTTAATGGTTAGTCACTTAAATTACAGAGAAAAACACATGTTTCGTTATCATGATTTGCCATGCTGTTTTTGGTTTAATTTGCCTAGATTTTGAGCTATCCACCTGTTTATTCCCCAGACATTTTTTTTACCAATCACCATTCAAAAGTTGTTACAAGAATTATAACAAGTCTATGTGTCTTCTTTTCTGAAAAGAGATAAGCATTTTATTAAACCGATTAAACCATTCCAAGGTCATATGGACCAAATGAACTGTTTTGGGATAAAGCAGAAATTCAGTGGCAAATAAACTATATCAAAACCTGAACAGATAAAACTGAAACTATCCTGATACCACAAGATGTTGGTGAGAAACATGACACCTGCAGGCCAGAGTGATCCAACAGACCCGTCCAAAAACATAACCATTCTGATTCGCAGTCTGATTGACTCAAGTGCAACAAAATAAATTGCTATTGATGAGAACATGTTTCCTTCTTTTTTTTTGGAGACAGAAACTGTTGGGAGGAGAGCGTTGGGGGGAGGCATGCAGCGAAGGACAGAGGAAGTATTCGAACCCATGGCCACTGCAGCGAGGACTATAGCACTATGGAAAGCACACATTTTCATTCTAGGAAATAAACCAGCAGGGCAATCATTTCAACTTAACAGTAATGTTGACTTTTATCAAAGTACATAATGGCTTCCATAATAACTGTGATAACTGTTATAAAACTCTACAATATGTTTTATTTAAAAATCCAACATTTTGCCTGCAAGACTTCCATGGCCAGTCCTTCCATACTATACCTTTATGATGAAATAACTTATGTTCAATCATTGCAGCAACAAGAGCTCTTGTAGCGGTCTGTTCCTGCCAATTTATTATCACCAGTTATCTTGTAGCATATTTGTCAAAATAATAAGGAATAATTAATCCTGAATCATTCCCCCTCTATTTTGCAATCAGGCTTAAATGTATATTCCTTTCAAAACAAACTTGTTGTATGCTCAATTCATTCCAGGTCTTATGAAGTGTTTTTTTGTTTTCTTGTTTTCCTGCCAGTGCCAAACCACAATTATGTCTGAGGCTGCAGTGGAGTGAGTCTATTGGCATCTTGATATGAACTGGTGCTACAGGCGAACTTTTATCTCTATGTCCAAACGTTCATGTTATGGATGACAGTTTGTCATAGCTTCTTTTATTTCTACTATCGCGGAGGAACATTTCATTCACTTAGTCCAAAAGACGGTAAAGTCATGTTTCTGCACATTTTAAAATGGTGGGTAAAGTGAAAGTAAAGCGCAGGAAGGTGAGAGCTTACAGTCTGCACGTCGCATGCTGAATCTTACATACAGTATATGTTAGGTAGGAAAGGGTTTGAGGTCGCTCAGATTGCCTCTGACCCCTCTCCTCCCGTGTGCGCCCTCCTATCCGCTGTGCGCTCTGAACACCAAACTCCCTCCTTCTCCTCCTCTCCTCCTCAGCGCTCGGAGCTCGACACGCACAGGCACAACAGATGGTACAGTACTACAAGCTGCAGGAGCGCAAGAATTTCATGAACAAGTACTTGTATTCCCCTTAACTTCATAGAACCGTTTAGTATATCGGAGGAAGGGGGTTCTCCAAGGACACGCGGCACTGTAACAGCAATTGGATCCTACGGTTTAGAGGCGGATTTTGGAGTCAAGGTAAGTTGTGATGCTTTTCTGAATAACGTGAGCCGTCTATATTTCGGATTTAATGAACTCAGAGAATTTGCGCACAAAAAACGCCCCAAATTACTTATTTCTGACTTTTAGGCTACATATCGGTGTAAAAGTCTTAGAAGGTTTATTAGGTTACACTTACCCTTAATTAAATGTATTACATAATATTTGATAGAAAGAAGAACAATGTAACTGTGAAAACCATTATCATTACATCTAACGATTTTAACAAAACACTGTACACCTTTTTGAATAACCTTTATTTCCAACGAAATGTATCCCCAAGCAAATCTAAAGTAATCCAAAAAAGAAAACTGAGATAATAAAATAAAACAGTGTTTTTACTTTATATGGGGAAATGTACTTTACAGTTACAGCACATAGTGTTGGTGTGAATTATGAATGAAAAGAAACTTCAGTCCTCCTGATTCCGAATTCTGAGAGTAACAGAATCTTGCAGCTGCATATTCCTGGACTTACAGCAGAACCGAGTCTTCACAGGCTTAGTGACTTCTGTTGATCTGCCACAGGCTAACTTTAATGTGAAAAACCATACAGACACTCCCATGTCAGAGGTCAGTAATGCTCTCTGACATTGTCTGCTGTGGTTTTATTTCTCTTGTGAGAAGAAGCCAGGGTTAAATATGGCTTAAAGCAGGGCTTAAAGCATAGGCATGCTATCATGAATCTACAATGAATGATTTAACAAAACCTCATGAACAAAAACAAGACAAATAATTATGAGTGTTACTGAGATAGTTCATAATCACTTTGCCTTACATGTTCATCATTTTGTAGGTGTCCGTCATCAAATATAGGAAAATTATATAATTCTTTGTTGTTCAAAACACATGCACTGATGGCCATTGTAGAATTAAGAACTAATTTGCTTTTTAGGAATGAGGTGTAATAGATGTTTTCTATTCTGCAAATGTTGAAATTTAGCAGGGCTAACTCCCGAACCACCATGCAGTGATGGGCTTTTTTACTGTAAGAGCGCGAGACTCTGACACTAATCCCTCTGAACTCTTGCATGCTCCCTGCCTCTGAGGAACGTGAGAGAGCAGACACTCTGACATTTAGTTCAAGTATTTAATAAGAGTCAGAATAATCAAGTTTCAGTCCGCCTTTTGACAGTCATTATTATTAAGATAGTACTTAAATATAGATTCAGGTCTGTACCTTTGGCAGCCCGGTAATCTAGCTGAGCTGCACGCTCAGATGCGCACAGGGAATAAAATCCCCCATTGGATAATTTGTACAGTAGGTTGAAGCTGCTCATCCACATGTCACATCCTGAAGGTCCTTTAAGATGTGGAATGCACACCGAGTCACAGTGAGCTGTTCGTAATGATCTGTCCCAGAGGAGGTCCTAGACCTGTGGTGGACCCCAGGTGGGCCTGTGGAAGCAGAAGCAACAGGAAAGCGCTGCGGACCAAATACACTTTGTACACAATTAGATCTCCTGGGAGATCCGCTTCAACTTCGTGCTCCATTTGCTCTCAATTCTGTGTGAGCTGCAAGCTACAAGAGAAATGTAAAAATGCAAGGATGTCTTTGAAAATTAGACTGCATATGTACAAACTGGTGAAATAATCAGGGCAACAGTGCTGTGAATTAATGTAAATCAATAACTTGGAAGACAGTAAAATAGGGTATCTTGTATAAATAGCACTGGGATCAATTTCTGGAAATCAGCTCATTAAGATATATTCCTTTTCTAAATCTGAATCACCTAAGCATTCCAATACATAGTCTTTATTACTTTCTGCTTTTACGAGTCCTATGGTCCTCTTTGTTCAGTACAGTACATATTGCCTTGTGTAAGTGTCCTATGTACCTTCATCCCATGTGGCTTTGTTTTTGCTCATTAAACATTTTATGGGACCTTATGGGAAGTCTTGAGCCACTAATGCTCCTGTGTGCGAGCTACATGACAAAACAAGATTCTTGTGTGCTGTTAGCTATGTACTGAATACTTCTACAAGTCTTCAGGAGCAAAACACACACTGGGCAGTAATATTAGAGCATAAATTAGTATGTACTGCAGCAAAGACATCACAGGGAGCTGCAGAGATTATTCAATATCTGACATACCTTTCAGTTATCAAGACAAGAGTGTGAATGTGTGGATGCAACAATGTTTAACAGATAGAAAATCCTTGTTTATCCATCTTTGCATTTGTTTGTCTAAAGTTTATGTGTCAACCTGGGCAGGGTCATTATGCCAAGTACACATTTTGAAACTGAAGCACAGGAAGTGTCACTGAGGGGCAGGCACTGCTCCCGTCATTATTGGGTTGCGTTATTGCTAGAGGCGCTCCCTGTGTGGTATTTTATTATATTGTCGCCGATGTGAATAATAAGAATAGAAGGCCTATAGGAAAGGGACCTGTATTATACAATAAAAATGAGTTTAATGACTCAAGTCAGGAAAAACATCCCTCCAGTGTAAAATGGTTGGATCTAAAGTAATAAGATTGGACTGGCTCTTTTTATGAGAACTGTGGTGTGTGGATGAGTGTAGTCTCTCGCTTTGAAGAATAGAATCAAAAGCGTGTGGATGCTCAGCCACTGCAGAGGCTGGCTGTTGTATTGACTTTACATAACCCACTTGTGAGGAAGATCTTATTTTGATTTTTGTCACATTTTTCCAAATCCAACAAATCACCAAACATTGCAGAAAATTAAATATCATAATTATTGCTAATTAAAAAAAAAAAACATTCCAAACAGCCTGCAGATGTATTCTGTGTTGTCATGAAAGCCAATGAGCTTTGCATATCATTTTTTCCTGAGTAAAAAAAAATATTTTAAACAAATCAAATTAATCATAAAGACATTTACCTCTATATATGTAAATGCTACCCTCGTTACTTCTGAAAGCATAGGCTTCATTGATGCCTCTTCAGTTGTACTGCTGCTGCTGCTGGTCACCCATCAAACACAGACCAGCAGTGTCCTCACATGACATAGCCAGGCAAGATTACGGATGCCACGAAGTCAGGGAATAACTGCAGTAACATGGGTTATTTTGTGTACCTGTGTGTGGATCAATACCCTGCTGTGAGAAGTGAGTGAGAGTAAAACGGTTCAGATACAGGAGTGAATAAATCCTGCAGTGGTACCTGTAGCATCCGTTAAGCAGCCGTGGCTTGCAGCAGCTGACATTAAGCTGCTAATCTGAATATTAAAGAGAAGATGCTCACGTTTGTGACAGAGATGATGGATGCATTAAAAATGAACGCAGTGTATGCATACATTACTGGCTGATTGTCAACATCCTTGTTGTAGAAGCTCATCCAGGCACAACAATCCTTTCTCCCCTAGAGTTACTTATTCATCAGTGTGTGTCAATAAATGTTTGCCTCAACATCAAATCCTCATTCAGATCATTCTTAAGCAGTCTGTTTTTTTTTCCATCGACCTTAATTAGAATTCTTTTGAATGGTCTGATGTCCTGTGATCATTGTAAAACAGGAAACTTGTGTTAAATTTTATTTTTTTTTTTTAATTGGTGGATAGTCAGAAAGAAGTGGGTTCTAAGCCCTGGTCCTGGTCTGCCAATTGAGAAAATGCCAATGATGTCATCAATCCCAGATGTCAGTCACCATCATTATGGTAACTTCCCATGAGTGGCAAACGTGCAATAGTCAGTATATTAATAACTACCTTTTTGCACCAGTTTAGAAAAAAAAGGCACATCAAATGTAATTAAGACCATTCATTTTAAAGGCTTTTCAAAAGAGCCAAAGAGTGTAAATTCTACTAAACAAACTTTTTTGGATGAGTCTAGAGAAACTAGAATAGCCTTTGAAGTCCTTCGATTTGATCTGAGAAGCTGCTCGAATGATTTACCATAGAACTGGGATAACATTGATCCAGAAGCCAGTTACATAATTGTGCTTGTCAGTGTCTTGTTTCTTCATTACCTACACTACAACTCACCAATGTTTTGGATTCAAACTGGTTTGTTTCATTACAGATTTGTAGTCCTCAGTCCCAACCAACACTTGACTAACCAACACCAACCACTGACTTGAGCTAATTTTCCAGGTTTGCTTAACTATTGACTGTCGAGTACTTTATGATCACTTCAAGCCTTCTGGACTTTTCAAACATAATTCATTATTCCTGTCATGATTTCATCTTCTTAGTTCTTTGTCTTCTAAAAACTTGTGTTTCCCTTGCACTATTGCAAGGAGGTATAGTATATAGTCAAAAGGTGGCATCCTCTTCAGGAGAGCCAGCTGTAGATTAGTTAGGGGCCCATCCAAAATATTCTCTCCTGAATGGTTTCTGTGTGTGGCAAGGAATCCAGTGACAAAAGCTGACTTTTGTCATTAGTTATTGTGGGTTGCATCAGAGGGAGCATGCGACAGTGTGTTTTTGATGAGAGGTTGCACTCCTTGTACTATACTTGTACTCATGAATAGAAATTTATGTCAACTGGAAAAAATAAGCATTTAAAATGTCATCACTGTCTCCAGTAAACAATCATTAAGACAGAAGAAGACCACAAAAAAAAAAACAACCCTTAAACCTCATCTTTTGTGAAAGTGTAACTTTTGGCACCATGCAGCTTCAAAGAGCCACCCTGCCTAGCACCCACAAATAGAAAATTTGAAGGAGAATTTTAAATGGAAGATTAATATTTCACCTCAACATTGATTCATGCTGCCACTGTAGACATTTTCATTTGCGAGCGGGTTATTTTCTGCAAAGGCATGTTTTGGCTTTACACAAGTATTTTGATCCAGCTCACTCCTTTCCACAGTGCATTAAAGGTAATGGGCCTCCTATGTGGAGCAATGCTGTCATCACTACTTAGAACATCACCCCAGTTTCCTGCTCTGTCATTTTCTCGTTCACAACAGTAAAGGAGGTAAAAGGGGTTGAAGCGGTAAAGGCGGGGATGGGTCATGAAAGGTGTTATTATTTCCTCTGGTGTTTGCTGACTGTGTCCTGGAGAAAAATGTGAC